GGGGGGGGGGGAGGGAGTGGGAGAAGAGACGACAACGACGCGATCATGCAAACAATGATTCGACTGTTCTCACCGCGTTGCGCGTATTTGAAAGTTGCGAGCGGCCTTCGCCGAGAGAGCCGCTATCGAGAGAAAGAGAAAGGGCGACGGAGGAGGGATGGGACGCGACGGAGATCGCGGGGGAATCGTCCGAAGGGGAACAAGGATTTCTGTTCATTGACATACCAGAACAACCGATTTCGCAAAAAGTGTATTTTCTTCGCGGAGAAATTCTCTCTGTCGTGTCATGTTGTGTGTCGTGTCGAACAGCAAAGGCACACCGTGACGATGACGATGGCATAAAGTTCGATGATGGCGCGGCAAATTCTGCGGAAACCTCCCAGAAGAGTGTCAAGTGTATTAAGTTGTTGTTGTCACGCATATGTTTTCCTCTCCCCCTTGATGTAAAAATATTTTGAATTTCGTGAGAGCGGACGTAGGGGAAAATATTGTTGCATCATCAACAATATTTTCCCAAACATGAGAATCTTTTTGCGAGTTACGCGAGGATGGGTCTTATAATGGGGCGCTATTTACACAGTACATTTCATCGTATTTCTGTTTTCGAAACATCTTGATGTCGTTTCCGATCGGCCTTGTGTCTAAGCATTGATTTCTCTTAGCTTTTTTGCGTTTTGGTTATACAATAAAAGCGGGACTATTCTTGAAAGACATCTGAACGCTTAATCCGTAAACAACTTCTCGGAGGCCTCAGAGGCTCAAAGAAAAAAAAAAAAACCGCCACAGTCAAAAAACTTTTTATGACATTCTTCTCTTTTGTGTCCCCTGTCTTCTTTATCCATACTTCCGGTTTTTCTAAAATATTTTACAAGCCCATTTTACAGCCCCACATGATGTACATATTTCGCGCACGTTATTGACCGTCAATGGTCAGAAAGAGCGAATGCGGGTTCCGGCCCTTTGAATCTAACATAAGGATCGTTCATGAGGATATTTTTACACATATAACGAATGTAAATACGTCGTCATCTTGTTGGTCAATGTGGCTGTCGATTAATAGACGCGACATTGTATTTTTCGCATCGAGACAATTATTATTCTATCGATTCTTCGAACAATGTTGTTGTTTCGCTCATCAATACGTCTTATTTATTCGCGATCATCTCTTTTACGGACGGCAAAGTCCAAGGGAGAATCCGTCGCGTTTGTTGTTGACTCTTCCGCAAATCGCAGCCTATTATCATAGCGTTCGGTGAATAATTGCCGGCCGTTATATATTGTTGTTATGCGCGCCGAAGCATTCCGACGAGTTCTCTCTTTCTCGTCGTGGAAACGTTCGCTTCGATATATCACGCTGTGTGGACATTCCCCCCTGCCAGCAGCCGACCTTCCACGTCTGAAAAGCAGATAAAAACGGAAAAACAACAGGAGGAACAGCTGGCATTCTCAAGCCGTAGGCAAACCGATAGATCGATTGCGTAAGTTTATTTGGTTGACGTTATCTAAAGTATACTCCGTAGATTGTAAATATCTGTTTAGGACACGGATGGGGAGAGTGCGGAAATATGGAAAATTGTCGGGCGCAAAGAGACGTACACAAAGTCCCGAAAACTACGGGGGATCGAAAGATTTGGTAAAAGCTGAGAAGAGAACGTCTCGAAAATTTACGTCCAGCCCGAACATAATCCCTCTACGCGCCTACCGTAGGTTGGGCGTCGCCCTCTTAATTAATCATCGTACTTTGATTGCGTTATCGTCGCGTCGTACACGCACCTACTACGTTTTCCTCGTACGGGTCACGCGGAGACGCCACCGTCATGCGTCATTACACAACATCATTGTACAATATTTGCCGTGCGATTTTGCAGATAGACGAGCGAGCGCATGCGTGTACACATTACGCGGATTGCCAGGCGATGACGTAGTGCATTCCTGAGATTACAGGTAGACTACTTTTTTCCGAAACGCAGCCAGATAAACGTTCGCGCCTTCTCTCTCTCTCTCCTCTATCGATCCCGGGTACACGAC